GATGACCCATCAAACAGATTCAATATTTTAATGTAACAAAAGCTACAATAGTACCCACATAACAGTTACAATTAAATAAAACTTGAGGTGTACTTCAGTAAAGGAGGTAACATTTCCATTCGCTTTGTAACAAAAACAGTAATGGTCCGTGCTCAAACACTTCCCAAATACCCGTGATTCATAATATCAAAGGTATGGATTTGATATGTCCGGGGGTTTCTGCAGATGTTAAACTACGAAACAATACATTGGCGCTATTTTGGCATTAAATTATACATCTGATTTGGTAATTATGCGTTTCTTTATTTGATTTACGTAACAAAAATGTTTTTTCGCATGGTAGTGGGAGAGCATTTGACAGTTGTTTTTAATGATGAAAGTACCAGGGCCGTTGTCATAACTAAGCTATACTTACAACAAGGCATCCCAAGTCAGGCATATTAAAAGGCGTGCAACAAGGATGTGCGAATGCGTGATTTTGTTCAATAATGCATGTAATTTGCTTTTCTCTCCTACGTGTACAGTTTTTATGCCAAAATGTAGAATAAGACTTCAAGATTCACTTTCACTTTTTTCTTTCAATATCAGATAAATTGGATAATGTAATGTTGGCTGTAATTCAAAATACTTCTTTGTAAATAAATGCATTATTCTTCTAAAAAAATACATCCCAATAATGTAATGATTTGACTTATACTGTTTTATCTCTGTTTAATATGTGTGTATATGTAAAGACAAAACTAGAATTAAGAAATAAATTATTATTATAACATAATATGATATGTCCCATATTAAATTCAACACTTGTGGTGCTTTTTAGTGTAACAAAATAATGTCTAGATTTTGAACACATGCATTATAAGGAAAATAAGGATGTTTTTTGTTCTTTAAACAAAATTAGAAAAGCAGGTATGAAAGGTTTCCCCTTAGACAGTCGTGATGTTTTTATTTCGTCCTTACCCGCGATGCACGATGGTACGGTGGTGAAAATGCAATGGTACGAGGATGAAAACTCGGTGGTACGATGGTGAAAACACGATGGTACGATGGTGTAAAAACGATGGTACGATGGTGAAAATGTGGTGCAACGATGGTAAAAACGCGATGCCACGATGGTGAAAACGCCATTGCTCGATGGTTGAATCAAGTTTTCATCATGGTAACATCGCGTCTTCACCAATGTACTCACATGGGTAGTAGTTAGTTATTTAGTGTTTTTACTTTGCCATTTAAGAATCTGACATCTTTCTGAAAGGCGATCATTTAACATCGCGCTTTCACCATCGGACCATCGCGACTTCGCGATTTTACCATCGCACCATCGTGTTTTCACCATCGTACTATCGTGTTTTCACCATCGTACCATCGCGTTTTCACAATCTAGGCAACGCGTGCCATCGCGTTTTCATTATCGTACCATCGCGTTTTCGCCGTCGTGACATCCCGTTTTCACCATCGTACCATCGCGTTTTAATCATCGTACTATCGCGTTTACACCGTTGTGGCATCGCGTTTTTACCATCGTACGATCGTAACATCGTACTATCGTAAATCGCGGGTAAGAACGGAATTAAAAGATCATGATTGTCCAAACGGAACATCGTATGTATGTGGCAGTTTGGCTTGATAGTTCAGCATACAAGGGAAATATCAAGATTTGATTTTAAACCCTTTATTTAGGCTATATACCTCCCTGAGACCATTCATACTTGACGCACGTGTCGTGTTGCAACTATAATGAGTTGTTGATATTGATTTTGTTATATGTGTGTTTACTACAATATGCAGGTTTTAGTTGACCTAACACAAAGTGACATTGTAACCTTTTGTGATCATAATTCTTCTGGCGTCGATCCGTCCGTCGTCCGTCCGTCACTTTTTCTTTAAACGACATCTCTTCATAAACCGCTAAGTCAATTTCATCTAAACTTTACAGCAATGTTTCTTTGGTGGTCATCCCAGGGGTCATTGATTTTCGGTAATGACGGTATAACTGTTTATTTTGACAAAGTATTTTGGAATAATCTAAAACAATTTCTTAACTATTCTCATGATAACGTAAATATCACGGAACTTCATAATCAAAGAATTATTACTTTACTACCAAAGACAAAATCACGGTATCAATTATTTTAAATAATTGGCGTCCGATTTCTTAACTAAATGTAGACTACAAAATTGCGTCAAAAGTCATTGCAAACAGAATGATAACCAGCTTCCAACCATTATTAATCCAGAGCAAACATGTTTTATTAAAGGTAGATAAATTTAGGGGTGGGGATGATAATTTTTACAAGAAACTTTTGAATATACTAGTAATTCAAATGAAAGAGGCCTACATTATTGTTTTATTTTAATAAAGTTTATGATAGTTCTGACCACAACTTTATGAAACATTTTAATTTCTTTATCATATTTTAAATTGGGTTGGCCTCTTTTCACAAAGATGCTGCTAAATCCTAAATTCATATCAATACTCGTCTTTCCAGTTTCTTTAAAATAGAGACAGGTGTAAGACATATGTCCTTTATCACCTTATCCATTTATTATTTGTATAAACTTACTCCGAAATGAAGAATATACTAAAAATATGAAAAGTATTAAGATCGAACTTAAATACTTATTGCCGAAGATGTATGTTTTATAACTGATGAAGATAAAAAGTGGTTTTGTCGTTTGTGTAGAAGGACTCAGACTCATTGTTGAGATGAAAAGCAACATCGATGTCCATAACAGCAAGTGGAGCATATTTGCATCATGATACACACGTTACTGACTGAATTCTATTAAATATCATTTACAAGTTCTACGTAGAAACGTTTCTTTTTTTTTGTTAAATGAAAACATATTTATAAACACTATCGCATGCACCAGTTGCCTTCCTACTTTTACAATCTTATTAAGCTTAATGTTAAATCAGTTTAACTTTACTTATTTTCTATGAAAGATTTCTTTCTGATTTATTCTTACAATTAAAATAATCTAAGATATGTTTGTAAATTTGTAAATGTATAATCTGAATTTATTTTATACGAACTGGATATATAAAAAATCAAAACCATTATTTTTTATAAGAATTCTGTTAACTCAAAATATGGAGTTCAAAGATTAATAAATGAATAATTGGTGATCTAACCTTCAACTCAAGCGCTTGCAGACGACCAAGATAAAAGATGATAATAATAACAACAATATCTTCTGTAATCATTATCATAATTATGTCATGAACATATATGATAACAAAAATATTACATATCTTAATTACATGCTTTTCAGTCCACACTGAAATAATAAAATATAATGTTCACAGTAGCTAAATGCGGATGAAAAAATATAACATAAATTAGTCGAAATATCGTCAGAAATACACGCCAATGCGCTTTTTGACGAGAAGCACATTCATATCTGCACATTCAAAATCTGTAACGTTATTCGTTAAAGTTTTTTTTTAAAGATCAATGTGGTGTTATGTCTTGTGGCATCATAAATGAGAGCGCATGTCGTTACGCGGCAAAATCAGTAAAAATACCCATAAAAATTAAATAAATATGTGATACATTCATCTTACGTCTCAATTTGCTTCTGTCATATATCGGCTCACCTAAATAATTATTTAATCTTCATTGTCATTATTTAAAATCATTGACTGAAATATATTACCTATTTTTTTTCTTTCCCCCTTAAATCGTTCATTTTTCGACAATGAGAATTGTAAAAAGAATTCTTTCATTTTGACATTGATTGTTGTATTTGTTTCTTTTCTAAACATAATCGCTCTATCTTCTGAACAGTAAGATAATTTATATTTAGAAACCGCATCCTTATATGAACATAAATTTTCAAACCATGTCTTACTTAAGCAAACCTCACTGTCTACAATTTAAGTCTTCTTTAAATACTAATCCCAAAGCTCAGAACAATATAACTTAAAATAGAAGTGAGTTTATCAACACTGTTTTCTCCATAGATAGGACGTAAATCACTTTCAAGAGAGTTCAAATTCTGGGATATATCTCTCAAAATGAGTCTTGGTACCTTTTATCAAACTAAATACTACTACTTGCTGGCTCATATAATGGTACAATATTCAATATTTGCTGTAAATGAAAAAAAATCAAAACAATTTGCCGTGGTTTGAAATATATTGAATTCTCCGCGTGGTAATTATGCGTCACCGGTGGGTTGCAAAAAATAAATACAAAAACTTTTAAACGTATCTTTTTGCCTACTGTTAAAGTAGATTTTGATAAAACCATTATTATACTGAAATGATCCTTAGATGGGCCTATATAGAAATTGTTCAAATGTTTCCGATCTGTTGATGGCTGTCAGTGATAGAAAAAGATGTGTGACATGACATGTTATTTGGCATTTTGTTCTCAACCGCCCGACGTATTTTGATAAAACTCTATGAAAATGATGTCTGGGCAGTATGTTACTACATTTGTTAAAAGTGTACTGGTGTGCTGAATAAAATGGCGACTAGAGCTAAAAATAGAAAATAAAATGTCATTACAAATGCCTCATTAATGAAATCTTGTTAATTTGAAGCATCTAGTGATTAAAGGCCACCAAGACCCTCTTGTTATGCTGTTATTGGCAATAACTTGTAATGAATAAATGTATTGTCTTTATACGTGTCACAATAATCCTTGGGCCAAGACATTTATAAAATTTTAGTATAAATTGACTGTACATTAATTTGACCCTTGACACACAACAAAGAATTCCTATGACAAAACAGATATGTTGAATAATGTAGTATTAATCATTCATGGGCAAAAGAGCACTTATCACAAACCTGACCCGATGATTAATTCAAAAGACCATCAAAGTCAAATATGACACTTGAATTTGTTTTGTTAGAAACATTATTTATGTAGGAGAAGCTTGACTATTATATTCTTCCTCTGATGTGTTTGACTTCAGAATAAGAAAAAGCAAGCATTTCCCCGCTAGACAACGACTTTTGTGTTTTATGACATTGTTTTTTATTGTAGGACACAGATTTTCTGCTTGATCCAAATGACGCTTACATTTTCAATGAAGCTTTGAAGAAAGGATCCGGGAAAGACAGATTTGTGAGAATAAATGTTGTTGGTAACTATGAACAAGGCAAAACTAGTCTGACGAGAAGGCTTTTGAATCAATCTTTGGAAGGCGTTATACGCACAGATGGCATTGATGTTCATGTGCGAAAATGTAAAATTAAAGATAAAGAATGGGAAAGCTCGCCAACCGAATTTGATGAAAACGACTGCTTAGAAAAATTAGCTGAAGGGTTTATTCGCACTACGAAAATCACAGAAAATAAACCAGATATACGACAAAACAACATGCCCTCTGAAAGTAATACAGACGAATCAGTCACGGACGTGTTAGCAGATAAAATGCCAGTCACAGATGACCCTCAAAGTGCCGAATCTGAAACCTCTAAATCAATATCGGGTTTAATTGCATCTGGTGAAAATACAAGCAGTGAAGCAAACATTGAAGCAAGTTTTATAGAAAAAAAATCAAGTCTTCTAAAAGAAAAAATGAATATGCCTTTGAATCAAACATTAACCGCCAACATTTGGGATTTCGGCGGACAGTTCATTTACTACGCTACACACCAGATATTTCATTCAAGGGACGCTATTTATCTTTTGGTGTTTGATTTGACAAAAGACTTAAAAGAATCTATCAAAGACAAGGAATTTCCGGACAGAAATTCATCAATGGGGGACTGTCTAAAGTTCTGGCTTGATTCTATTCATGCATATGCTGGGTCAGAAGAAGGTGGGACTTCGGAACATGTGTCAAAACCATTTGTTATATTAGTAGGAACTTTTAAAGACCTATTTGAGGGTAGTTCAGAAAAGAAATTTGAAGAAGTTTTGGATTTGTTTGTTTATGATTCAGCTAGGAGTCACTTGTTGCGGGAACAATATGCCGTTTCTAACACAAATATGACAGATGAGGAAGTCCAAAAATTGAAGAGTAAAATTTTTGAACTAGGAGAGAAACATGCTGAAGAAAACCATGTTCCATTGAAATGGATTCCGCTCGAGATAGCTTTATTAGCAGAAAAAAGTAAAAACATCATAACAATTGAGGACGTCAAGAAGCTGAATACAGAAAATGAGAATCTACTTGAAAAAGAAGAATTGAAAACATTTTTGAAATATCTGCATCTAAAGGGTATTCTTATCTTCTTTGACGAAGAAGACCTTGAAGGCCACATTGTTGTTAACCCGCAATATTTAGTTGACGCATTCAGATGCGTCATTGGGTCAAAGTCATGTATAAAAGATGCAAAGTTGCATCCTCAATGGAAACTTTTGAATGAAACTGCAATTATAGAAAATGATTTTCTAGAGGCTATGTGGGAGAAAGATGTAGGAAAAGACTTTCTAAAAAACAAAGAGGTTTTGTTGATGTTCCTACAAAGACATAGGATATTGTCTAAACTTTTTATTATGGATGATGCAGAAAACAAAAAGTATCAAGACAAGTACATGATTCCGAGCCTTTTGAAACACCGTTGTAAGCAACAGGAATTAAAGATGTTCACAGATGGTAAAAATGCAACACTTGTATCACTAGGTTTACAAATAGAGAATACTGCTTTGCTGACAAGTCTGTTCCAAAGAGTAACTGCAGGTGCTTTAGGAAAGTGGTCCCCAGTTGTGATAGATAAACGAGTATTTGTATTTCAAAACATTGGTCATTTTAGATTAGACCTGCAACATGTTGGAAAAATTGAGTTGAAGCCTGGAAAGGGTATTCAGCTAACCGTTATAAACCAGTGTCCAGAAATCAAAGTGGAAAGCAAAGTTTGTGATTATTTCAGGAGATACATTGAAAGCCTTATCAAACATGATTTTCAAAAACGTTGGAATCGTATGTACAATGGCAACTGTTACAAACATTACTTGGCATGTAATGATCGGTCACATGACGGAGATGGTAGCAAGGGTACATACGATATAGACAAGGTGAGGAACACAGAAAAAGCTGGCTGTCCAGATTTCGGTGACCATTCCGTTGAATGTAAATCTGCGATTGATGAATGGTTCTCGCCAGGCAAAATAACGGAACTGTACCGTATTGAAGATCGACGAGTAACCGAACTGGAACTCGGTAGGTTAGCAGGGTGTATTGGGAAGAACTGGGAACTTCTTGGTACAGCTCTTGGTGTTCGTCGCGTTGACATAGATCATCTTAAGGAAGAATATAAAGAACAGACTGCAACCTGCATTTTCAGGATGCTCTGCATGTGGGAACAATCAAAACAGGACGATGCCACATTGGTCCAGTTGGTTACCTGCATAGAAGACAATCCAGTCATAAATGTCGACAAGGACATGATTAAAAACATTATAGAGCGTAATTAGATTTCACCCTTAGAAGCAATTTTGAAAAGATAAAAAGTTAATGATTAGTAAACAATTAAAGAATGTACTCACTTTTGCAAGTTGCAATTTCTAAATAGGTTTGAAAATACAGTCTGAATATATATGCTCACATGTCACATGATGTAGGTCAGGTAAGTTTCTGAATGAAAGCTCTTATTCATTCAACTTCTCACAACATTGATTCCTGATAATGAAACGGTGTTATAAACTGAGCTCATGTGATTTTATGTTGGATATGTTTAATGAAGCAACACACAAAGTGATGAAAGCGTTGTTGAAACAGCGATGTAATTTCGATTTTAAAACATGTATCGGCACTAAGTGATAAATATCAGATGGATGTAAAGAGCTTTCGTGATAAGTGTACATAAGTTCATTTCCAATATAATTAAGAAACTATGTACATACATAGCTTTCGATTTAAAAACAATTGATTGTCGTATTGCTTTTATGTGTAATTTCCATGACAAAATAGATAGAGTATACTAAGAAGATTGGAGAAGCAGGATTCAGGATTACAACAAAGTTATCAATATTGAGATGAAAGTATGTCCGAAGTTTTGGCTTCATTCCATTCGAACATATCCTGGGTCTGAGAAAGAAGGTTAAATTTTTACAAATACAACAAAACTCAATGTTATTTAAGTAGAGATATTTAAAGATAAAGGCAATTCGAAAGAGTAATTGTATGATGCTTTTATTATTTTTGTTGATGATTGTCAGCTAGGAGACAACTGTTGCCTTTAGAATATTTGTTTCTATCACAGAAATGCCAGATTATTAAATACGAAAATAAAAGGGACACATATATGAAGTCTGAATTGACAATGCAGGAAGATGGTGAGTTACGGTGAAATGGATACCGCTCGAGATAGGTATATTAGCAGAAAAAATAAAAACATTTGAGGAAGCCAAGAGTCTAAAGAAAACGGGAACCGAGCTGAAGAAGCAGAAGTGATTTTTTAGATATATCCACATGCACTGGTGTGAATTACTGAACATTTAACTCAAAATCTTTATAAAAAGAAGACAACTCACTGAGCAGCATGTGATATAATTTACCTCTAAAGGCGATTTAAAAAGGATACTTTTTTCTTTTAAACATTATTTTCATTCATTATGCATTTTTTTTCTTATTGAAATATATCCCAGTAATGCTGAAGAGTATGTTGAAATTGGTGTCGTTGTAATATTGTGATTCTGAAATTAATTTGTAGTTTCGTTTGAAGTATTATCCACACCTTAGATATTCCACTGACAATGTTTTTTAGTTTAAAGTAACGACCTTTGTATGCTAGTCCCTAGTAATGTTGTGTAGTAAACTTTTGAAGTTCTGAACTTTGTATGAAATACAATAAGTGTATGTTTATAAGAGGAATAAGGAAATCTATTGACCTAACTTCGGCCCCGGTGAATATCACATAAGCAATACCAATAACGTAAATATTCACCAAGATCTTCATGCAATAACTGTTTTATTATATGAATATTCAAAAAGCCATACATTTACGTAAATCTAAGAAATTTTTCATGAGGTTCTCTATGCAGGAAAATAGTAAAACAAATATAAAATAACATGTTAATACGTACCTTAAACAATTTAAGTAGAAACAATTATTTTTCTTGTGAGATTTGTTAGCTGAACGCTTTTATTTGTTTCTTGAAAAAAATAACTAGTAGGGATGATATTATATTATTTTTTAGAGTTTCCTCATTTCCAAAAATGAAGCCTTCTTATACCCTAGCTTTAGTTAGAAGATGTCCGTTAGAGTAAACCGTACGGTAAATTTTGTTCAGCTTTTGAATACAGGTGACTTTTAAGGCATACATCTGACCTATGTTGTATTTTTTTTCAATTCCTTATAGTCCCGCCTAATGCTGCTACTATCAGCACGTCAATGAAAAAGTGATTCTTTTTACAGTTAACGGTTCTTATTTTGGAAATGAGATGAAAATATATTATTGTTGTCGTAGGTGTTTTTACTGTTTTTCAGTGAATGTTTGATTTTGACTTTCCGTATTTTACTTAATATGGAAGTTATTATTGTTTGTATGTTTGCTGATGATTTCGCCTATCTTGTTTTTGATTTGTTGATTGTTTGTGATGTATCATATTGTATTATTGTTACAATATATTGTATGCTTATTTTGCTTCACTTATTCTCGACTTATATACATAGAATTCTCGACTTTTATGCATATTTACGATCATTTTCTTTGTTACCACTATATTTAATTAAAATGTCATTCATTTTGTAAGATTATTTTCATCAAATCAAAGTGTTAAGATTGATGATAAATAAAAGTCGTTCAGGTTTTTTTAGTTATTCACAAGATAACAAATAAAATTTAACAAGAAACCATTTGTAATGTTTTACCAAAGATGTGATGTCTTACAACATTTGAGAATTTCCTTTTCATTCAGATATGTACTTTTTTTCCTTTATTCATAATATTTTAGGTATACTATGTAAATTCTTTTGTATAAAAGTATGTGAAACATTTTTCAGATTCCTTTAGATTTATATTATGTTTGATGTATGGGGATTGGTTATCCATTCATATGTACACGCAGTAGAAACTGCGTCACTGTTTGTTTGATATCTTGTCACGTATTTTATTGATAACTGTTACCGTGGTTACTGAGTTAGTTGAACACGTAACGGAGTTATTCTGGTTATTTGCGAATGTCGTTGAATACTTCTATGAATAATAAAATCTCTCCAAATAGTTGTTATTTATCTTTAATGCTTAAATGAAATGATTTGTTTTGTCAAAATACAATTTGATATCTAATATAGAAATCAACTCTCCTTCTACGAATCAAAGTCATTCTAATATAAATACAAAATGAATAGCTTATTCATATACGAATACATGTATGTACCTAGTATTCAAGATCATATAAAGTAGACTAATTTTGTAAAACTTCAGACGTCAGTACATATATTTATACTTTATTTTTAGTCAAATATCACGGAATTATATCTCTGCAACTGCTATAAACTTTCTTTGATAAGGTACATTTTACCAATTTCATATCTTCTATTTGAAAAAGACTTACGTTGCGGATCATACAAAGGTTATTTAAATTATAATTCAAGGATCAAATATGGTTAAACCAGATTAAGATGTTGTAAGCAGAAGGGGAGTGATACGTAAGTAATGTATCGTATAACAATGACATTATTTTTCTTGTGATAAAAGTTATTGTACATATGGTGATTTTTGTAAATGAAATGAAAAATTTTGTTACAAGGCTCAGACATTGACAATACAATTTGTATATTCAAAATGTGTTATAACTTAACGGATTTTTGCAACGTTTGTTTAAACCATCATCTAGGTTTCCAATCAGCCATGTCCTAGGGATAACTTGATATTATATGCACTCACATAGGAAATTTTGTAAAATCATCTTTATTGCTTCTGTCATTTTTATATTTTATGTGTACCATTGTATAAGACGTCTTCTTAATTATGTGAATATTCATTTTTTGACTGATATTCATATTTATTATATAATCTATAAATAGCTTTGAAATGCCTTTCCCTGATTGGCTAACAAGCAATTCTTTTGTAAAAAATAACAGGTCAATATCAGAGTATATTCCCTGTTTTTTCCCGAAAAATAGATTTTCAGAGTATATTCACCTGTTTTGTTCTAAAAATAGATTTTCTGGAAATCCCTAAAAGACGCGAGACTTTGACATTGACGTCACGCCAAGTTTGTTGTTATTAGTCTGGAAAAAAAAACATTGAGTGGGACCGGTGTACATAAGAGTCAAATAAGTCTTTATATTTTCATTTAAAACAGGATTAGCATCATAAAGGCAATTATTACATTATAGTTGAGAGCATACAATAGGTATTAAAAGATTGCCTTAATGTGAAAGGTATGTACTGAATATTAATGTACAACATCATGTTCAAAGCTAAAAAGTATAATGTAAATTTTTATGAGCATGTATACAGGGACATTGTAATATGGGTTAATATAATAACATGATTTTGTTTGTTTAAATGACTATATTAAGCATGTGGATAATTTAAAACATTTTTTTTTCACCGACGAGTATCAACTATATCTCTGTTCTAAACAGCTAAAAAGTCCATATTTGTATAATATTTTTATAGTTCAATGTGTATTACATGGACATCTGCACTCAATATGGGTTTCAACTTTGAGTCACGATAACCATGAATTTTTGTTTTGTTTAAATGACATCATATTAAGCATGTGGATAATTTAAAAACACTTCTTTTTGTTTCACCCGCCACGGAGTACCGGCAACGTAGGTATCTCTTCTTCGTCGTCTGTTTATAAGTCCGTCTGTTACAAAACTTGTCTGGACTACTCGAAAACTTCTGGTGCAATTTCATCCAGTAAATACAGTATCAAGTCTTGTTATGCATAGCATCGACTTTTTCCAGTTAAATGATCTTTTTCACTTACCACCTCTTAATGCTTTTTTTTTTGTAATTTTTAAAGTTTGTTCGGACTACTCTTTTACCTGAGATGCAATATATATTAAACTTTATAGGAATGACCGGTAGCTTCAGTACTTGCTCAAATTAAACTTGTTTACCGGTTGAAACATTTTTGGCCCTTAAATAAAAAAAAGCGTTTTGGCCCGTTAATGATTTTTGTGTTGCCTGCTATACCGTAGTGGATACATGTTACGAAGTAGCCATGATTTATAAGGATAACTTCTCTGTCGTCTGCTTTTCTGTTCGTCTGTCTGTCCATCACAAAACTTGCCCGGACTACTATTTAAAAAGCTACTAGTACATTTCATCGAAATGTTACAGGAATGATTAGTACCAAGTGTAGTTTTGCAACTCAAATCGCCAGCGATTTACCGTTCTATGTTTTTTATTCATGGTCTTGGAATAATTTTTGTTTTTAAACTTTACCCGAACTACTGATACAATTTGAGTTAAAATTTACAGATTTATTTATAACTCTAGTATTTGCGAACAATCATAGCGTATTTCAATTAAAATATTTTTGACTGGGTTATGACCCTTGAATGAAAAAAGCATTTTGGCAATTTGATATTTTTTGTGTGTGTCATGCTATACAGTAAAATATAGGGAACACTGGTCACTCGTCCCATAAATAGAACTGCTTAAGTTTTCTATCATCAGGCGACATATTAGATCACATGTCGCTCTTGTTTTTTGTTTGTTCCTCGGCCTTAACTATATTATGTTAAGCTAACAAGCTAACAATTCCTTCAGCGTCATTTTTGTTAGTAAAGACTTTAATCAATTGAGCGATATTTAAAAGATATGTCATGTTCATGTCATATTTAATTTACTGTAAAATGTTGATACAAACTGATATTTATAGATAAGATTCCAACTTTTGTTACTTTGTTAATATTTATTTTAATATATGTTTTATGCTCAATATTCTAGATGATTTTTTTAAAATATATATTCTATCTATTTAATCTTTGTAAAGGTATGAAATTATGAAACATACTGAAATTATTACTACCAAGATAATGTGTGAGGTTTTGCGTTCATCAAAATGTAGTAATAAGCAGATATAACTCTTACAGTTTTGTCTTTTTAATTTTGCTTATCATTGAATGTTACGCCCCCTTTTATGCATGCCAGTAAGTTCCATTAACTCCTAATAACTGTTATTATGCTATAACCTAAACAAAAACTGTATATTATTTCTTTTACATTTGACTGAAAAAAAGATTATGATTTTCATGCTATGTTTACTTAAAGATGAATGTGTTGACCTTCTGTCCTGGGGTAAAAAGACCATGTGATACCTCATTCAGGACCTTAAAGAAGTACCAGTTTCCATTGCTATGAAATATAATGCCTTCGATCATAAATCTTTGAACCAAACTTTGTTTAGATATGTCAAAATGTAAGATATTAGGAAGAAATGTCGGGGTTATCTCTCCAACAAGTAAATTTATTTTGAATTTACATTTTTGTTTGTGAAACCTTTAAACTTTGCTATGCTGCCTCAGTATAATTCTTATGTAGTTTTTATTGCAAACGCTATTTAATGTAGTGCATATTTATCAAGCTTACTAAACTCACGCAATTTTGAAATTACCATCACGTCATTTTTGTGCTTGTTAAAAACATTTTTGCCATTTTTTCTTTTGTGTATTTCTACTGTGAAAACGCCTATATACTGTTACACAATTATAATGGTTGTTTATAAAATGTTTGTAATCTTATCATGAACTGACAGCTAATTGAAGTAGATATAAATAATAGAACACAGGGTGGCCATACCTCGTAATGTGTGACGTATTTTAATTGTTTAAATGATTTTTGTCAGATGCAATGTAATAAATAAAATTATTGAATACAAACAAACAACCGATATAGTGAGATAGTGTAAGAACATTGTCTGATATTTGACCCACCGTAAGTAGGAAACATGTTTCCACTTAATATATGCAATATTTGCTTACAAATGAAGAAATAAAAAATTCACAAATGTTTCCTCCTGAGAATCAAGAAAATACACTGAATCTGATATTTTAAAAGTTAGATTTTTATATGTGCCATTTTGATATGACCACCCCGTGAACATATTGCTATAAATTTTATTAAATGACATACATATTAGACTTGTTTAGACTGGAAGTTTTATATTAGTGTGTATTTTTTGTCAGAACTAGATATATTTAGAGTCTCAATGGTCGTGTGGTTCAGGTCAGTTACTTTGATTTAGAAACAGTGAGATAACTAACTTAATGGGTTATTTCGTATGAGAAAGCTATCCAACTAGCAGAGAACTATTGGATGGAGGTTAAAACCATACATATATTTAAGGCATTTAGTGCCTTTCTCATCTTACAAGTGACATATTTATGAATGCAAGGAAGGACACCTTACATCTGAAGTCACTAGTAAAGATAAAAAAGACATTATATGACACTTAAATGCAATGTTGTTATGGTTTTAACCTCCATCCTACACACACGAACCCAATTAAATGAAGTCTGTAAATTTCTGATTTATAATAAAATTTACCTGATAAATATTAGAAACATCTTTAACATTATTATAAAATAGCATATATTTTTTGCAATTTGTAATACCTTTGCAATGTAAAATTGTATGTTTTTAATTCTTTGCTGTATCTGTCAAAAAAATAAATCTATATACCTAGATATGAAATTTATATTTTGTTTTACATATATTCCCTTTTTCTATAATAACAATCACCGTATAACTGATTCAGCTTTGTCGGGCATAACTTACATCTGAAATCATATTCGAAATAATGAATACTTCAATAGAAGTTAAGGTTAATCTGTCTGTTCTGTTATGAGTCATTGCTGCATTGAAGAAATACATTAATATAATCTTGGTCACACCATATACGTGTATTTTTGATATAATACAATAATAAGAAGGGTTCTGACGGCCATTCAGACAATTCAAAGAGAAGCCAAAGTGAATTTAAATATTTAAAGAATATGTACCTTTAAAGATTAATTGGAATAGACTTGGGATTTAATTTATAAGGGGCAGGACGTAAAGTGGTTGCACACTTGGTTCAAGCGAGAAAAATGGTTGCAAACTTGACAAAATGGCTATCGAGTCATTAATATTTTCAGCACCCGCACGTATTTTCGACAAGTTAGGTGTGTATGTTATTTGATTTTTATATGCTTATTCATTAAAGCAGGGTGTTTCTGTTTGAAAGACCCTGCTTAAAGCAATGTTTATGCTACACTCGGTTTTGGGTTTCATCTCCCTAGCTTCTGATTTAACGAAGTAATTGAAAATATAAACTGATCTTGTCCATATTTTGTGATTTGACAAGTGCGATTCTGGGCGGATTTGCTACTCATTTATTCACATCTGTAAGTTTTGAAGTTTCAAATATGTTTTTGCAATACTGTGTAAATGTGTTGATTTGCATGTTCCAAATAAAGTTTTAATACACAACAATATCTTATTCAAGCGACTTTTAGTTGCTTTAGTTTTTCAAGCATTTCTGCTTGCAAACTAATGCGCCAGCTCTTTTGCTTATAATTGCAAGGAAATAACTATCTTTGGATTAGATAATTATTCTTAATAGGAAAGAATTTTTATATAGATTTGAAACTTCACACTATTATCGGTGGATTGATTACAGTTCTTAGCTAGTGCTCCTTTGTTATTTTACAGCTTAGTTTGTGTCCAGAGCAAGTCTCGAAAAGTATTTGAGATGTCAACTTTAAATTTCATAGGTTGACAGTTATTATA